AAAGTAGATTTACAAGAATACATGTGCATGATCAATGGATGTCGAGTTTCATGCTCCTAAGCTGGTATAATGGCATGCTACAGTGTATGCTTGTGCGAGTGTGCTATTATAATCCAAGTCAATAAGTAATATTAAAGACATCGATAGTTCATTGGAAACAACACAACAAGTCACATATGGTGCATGACATACACAAGTAAAAGGCACGCCATTACACGAGTGTCATTTACATTATGCCCCCAGGCCGTCACATGTCATCCCCGACATAGCCACCCTTATCTCTCTGTATTAACAATATCATAATAGTCACCCGTATCGCTCCGCCCTGACATAACACAATAGTAAGCCGTCTAACTCCACCCAAACAATATCACAATAGCCACATGAATCTCTCCGCCCAGACAATGACACAATAGCCACCCGTATCACTCCGCCCAGACAATAACACAATAGCCACCAGTATCTCTCGGCATAATCAACAACAGTGGGATGTCACCCTTATGCTCTTCATAGAAACAAACTATCCACACAACAAATCCACATGTGCTAACAATACAACAACATGACATATCAACTTATATCACAAGTGCCCATAGGCCATAACCTTTCGCAAAACAACAATACAGATATCATCATAACACATACCCCACGGCTCAACCACGGTGTGTACAAGAATCCCAATAGAAACAAATGAAATGAAAAAATAACTCAAAAATGAAAGAGATACTCCATTAAACAACAACTTCAACAAAACAAGTTAATGATTCTCAATAACTTCAACTTCAATTAACATCTTAAGAATAAACTCAATAATGAAGATATTTTCATGAAATGGCAACTTCGAATTCTAGTGTATAACACAAGCTAACAATGAAGAGATGGAATGAAATAGCCACCTTGTCTAAATGCATGAGAATAAATCGACAACGAAGGGATGTCATGTAATAGCAACTTCGAATAAGAATAGTTCAACAGTAAAAGAGATAACATGACAATAAAAGCGGTAACAACTTCAACTAAGCATATAAGAGTAAACTTGACAAATAAAAGATAGAACATGTGCTAACAATTTCGAATGAAGCATGTATGAGTAAACTTAACATGGAGGATATAGTGTGATATGACAATTTTAATTAATGCATGAAAGAAGCCTAGGAGTCTAACCATTCAAATACCACATATAAGCCCCGTGTACACACTCGTCACCTCGTGTACACGTCTTTCACATAATTCAAATAATACAATCAACCCAAATCCTAAGGGGTAGTTCTCCCACAAAAAGTTAGGCAAGATATTACCTCAAAGAAGCTAAGTGAATACTCTAAAAAATTCCTTCCCATGTGAAACAATCTCCTGACGGTTCGAATCTAGCAAAAATAACATAATATCATAAATGAAAGCCATAGAAAATAATTTCGGATAATAAAGTTTCGATCTTTAATGAAAACCAATAAGTCACCCCAAAATGTCAACCCTAGACCCGCACCTCAGAAGCTGACAAAACCAATAAAATTCGAACATCCATTCCTATACGAGTTCAACCATACAAAAATCATCCAATTCCGATCTCAAATCGGCATTCAAATCATTATTTTATATTTTAGAAAGATTTTACTAAAATCTCCAATTCCTCCAAACTCAAATCACTAATAATATGATAAAAACAAGGGAGGAATCATAAAATACAACCAAATCCGAGTTAAGAATACTTACCTCAATCCAAAAATGTGAAAATCCACTCCCAAATTGCCCAAATCTGAGGCCCCCAACTTAAAATGTGTTAAAATGAACAAGAACCTCGATTTATAACTTCTGCCCAGCTTTTTCGCATTTGCGAACAAAAAGGCCGCTTTTGCGGCGTCGCTTCGACGACAATGAACCCACTTCTCCGGAAACCACTTAAGACCCATCCATTCGCACCTGCGGACAAAGTCCTGCTTCTACGCAATCGCATGAGCGACATCAACCCATGCTTCTGCGCTCCTTTCGCTTCTATGCTCCAAGTCAAAGCATCTGTGCTGCCGTATATGCACTCAAAATCCTGCTTAGGCGTACACTCTCAACCAAGCTGCCATCCGCTTCTGCGATCAGTATTCCGCTCCTGCGGACGCGCAGATGCGCGTAACATTCTACTTTTGTGGTCTTCCCTCATCCTGCCGTGTTTTGCTTATGCACCCACGTGACCGCATCTACAGCCATCGCACTTGTGCCCACAAGTCTGCATGTGCAACCACACCAGAATGGAAAATGATCTGAAACAATTTCTCAACTCACCCGGGCCCCTCAGAGCTCCGTCCCAACATACTAACAAGTGATAATACACGACACGGACCTACTCAAGGCCTCAAATTACACATAATAACATCAAAACGATGAATCGCACCTCGAATCAACCTTCATGAACTTTTATCAACTTCCAAAACTCATGCCGAACCTCATCAATCAACTCGGAATGACTTCAAATTTTGCACACAAGCTACAAATGACATAACGAACCTATTCCAACTTCCGAAATAATAATCCGGACCCGATAACATCAAAGTCAACTCCCGATCAAACCTCTCAACCTTCCAAACCTTCAACTTTCCAACTTTTGCGAAAAAGCATCAAATCACCCCACTTACGTCCAAATCTAAATCCGGGCATACTTCAAAATCCACAATCACCATACGAACTTATTGGAATCATTAAAACACCATTCTGGAGTCGTCTATGCAAAAGTCATATTCCGGTCAACTCTTACCACTTAAGCCTCTAAAACAATAATCATTCTTCCAAATCAATCTTGAATTGCCCGAGAATCGAAAACGACCCTTCGCGCAAGTGATAGTACATAATATGAAGCTTTTCAAGACCTTAAATCACTGAACGGAGCGCTAAAGTTCAAAACGATAGGTCGGGTCGTTACAACTTATATAACTTTTTAAATTTTTAAACTCCTTAGTGTTTATTTTATACCTGCATGGCCTGAAACTATCTTAATTGTGAAAAAACTAATTATTCCAAAAGCTGATAGTGTTTTCAAATAATTTGTCTTGAGTCATTTTGAGAAAGAAGCGTTAATATAATTAATGGGCTTCGTTGCTGCCCATATTAAATTAATGAGTTGACCTTATTTAGATCCGTTTTTATGGGAAGATACAACGGGGGTACTTTTGATTTCAAGATGCTAAATAAATGAACATATTATTAAATGATTATTATTATTATTATTATTATTATTATTGCTTCGACAATAAGTGATTAATAGATTAACTTAAATTTTATGCTAAAATGAGGAAGATAAAGATAAAAGACTTTAAATAGGACGGGGAAGGGGTCCAATTAAATTACTATAAATTTTGAGGTCATTTTTTGGCAACTGTATGGTAAAAAGTGCACACGACACGTGACCGACTCGAAAATCAACTCGTGGCAAGTATTTCTTTTTAATTTTCTAGTTAGTGCTAAGTAGTTAATTTTCTAGTCAGTGGTTCGGTTCAGCCGGTTATTTTATAAAATTTGTATCATAGTATTTTTTCGGTTATTCTATTATGTATAACCAAAATTAGATTTTTCGAAACCGTCCCAATCATGTCGGTTTCTCTCCGGTATCGGTACGGTTCAGTTAATTTTTAGTATTTTTTTTAATGTCATGTAAAATTCACCAATAGAAGTAGAATGCAATAACATACGTTTTTTATAGGACTTACCAAAACTCTCTAGACATTTTTACTGTTTAAAGGGTAATGAATTAAAAAAAAAGATGGCTAGAGTATAGATCTGTCAACTATTCTACAACAACGTAAAAGAAATCAAACAAAGGCAAAGAAAATATAAATCACACGAGTTGAAAGATATACCAAGGTGAGACTCAAGAATAAAGTCTATAGAAGATTAAATATTCAAAAAGATAAATCTAAATTATATGAAAGGAAACATATTCAATACATTGTAGTTTGCTACTCATAATCGCTAGAATACTTTGTGTCTTGCTAATAAAGATACTTGAAATAACTTGGTTGAAGTAGAAGTAGCATAATAGGTTTTAGGAATTAGTATTTTGAGTTTAATTACTTGTTGGCTTGTAATAGTTTTCATAATTCCAAGACCCAAAAAAAATTTAATGCATTATTATTTTTAAACTTACTAAATAAATATACTTTCCACATATAAAATTTATTCAGTACGGTTCGGTATTTTTTCGGTTTATTTTTATAAAATAAAAAACATACCCTAATTATCGGTGCGGTTATAGATTTATATAAAAACCTACGATTTCCTAAAAAAAACCTAAAATCGATTCAGTGCGGTACGATTCGGTCGGTTTAGTCGGTTTTCGAATATCCATCGACACCGCTAGTGCTAAGTCTTCCAGATTTACTTGTTCGAAGACTGAAGACCAAAGAAGCCGGTCCCAGAATCCTTTTATTTTCTTCAGTCAAAGGCGATCCAGATCAGGATTGTCAAAGGCATCCAAGTAGATACATTCTCGGAACCATCAGATCTTGATATATTTGGGATTCTTCATTAACCACGTCTAGCATTTATACTCAGCTAAGTGTAACAAACGATATTTGCATTTACTGCAGTTAATCCATAAAACGTGTGCAAGAGACATAAGGGCCAGTTTTGATTATCTTATCCTGTAAATACCCTTCTTCCCACAATTAAATCTCATTTGAACTTTTACTCTTTCACTCGATATTATAGAAAATTTATTTATCTCTTTCGTTATTACTGTTGTTCATCAGCTCTAAGAAAATTCCTTTATAAGAATCTCTGAAATCAGACCAACTTGCTATCTTTAATAGAGGGCAAGTAGGAAGTACTTTAACTCTATAATACTTCTTCAATATCCAATTCTAAAATGGGAGGACAGCACATGCTTGAAGTGAACATTAAAGCAAGATAATAAATAATCTATAAAAGCAAAAAATAAAGCAACTATGGCACATGCAAGAGAAGTAGTTTGACTTCAAGGAGGTCTATAAATTACGACATTTTAGAAGTAATTAGCCACTCCAAAACATTCATAATTAAGTGTGAAATACTATTCCAATGATGTTGCTAAAGCATTCTTTTGTGCTCGCTATTCTCATTATGGTGGCAACTAGTAAGTACCACTTACTTCATAACTCTAAATTATAATTATATATTATCTACATTTTTTACTTTGTATGTAGTTATATATATACGTGACTGTACATATTTCAAATTAAAGCACGGATATGCATCTGATTCACTGAATAACACTTATATGTATGTCATTTTTTTTATATTATTAAAAAAATTAATTATTGTAATGATGAATATTTATAGCAAAGGTGGTCCTCTTGACAAACACAAAAGTCGAAGCTGCACTGGATGTTGATCATAATCTCTTAGGAATGAGGAAGAGATTACTCCCACAACTCAATACTTGTTTTAGATCTTGTAAATCTAGCTTGGATTGCAACGATTGTTGGGTTTGTTGCGCTTGTGGATTCTCTGCTACACTTGGTGGCCCTATGTGTCTGACATTTGATTAGTGTGTAGTGGAGACAGGCTCTTCTACACATCTCCATTATACAGTTGGGTTTCTGTGTTGTTTAATGTGTTCTTCAGTTGCTTGTCTTCCATAATTTATATGTATAATAAGGAAAGTCAAGTGAACAACTCTTTATTTTAAAATTACAATAAACTCCACTACAAAAGTTGGCTGGGTAAGAAATTGTATGATTCATCATGCATTTACCTTATTAATAAAATTATGCATATGTAATTTATGTTTGTTTTTAGTTTTTATTTATTTATAATGATTTATGCTTCAAGAGGAGAGCCTTGGCGTAACTGGTAAAATTGCTGCCGTAAGACCAGGAGGTCACAGATTCGAGCCATGGAAATAGCCTCTTGCAGAAATGCAGGGTAAGGCTGCCACTATTAGAAATCCGGAAAAAAGCGACCAAAATTTAGCGACCAAAGTTGGTCTGTGGGAAAAAGCGAC